TCATAGTATGTCTGGTCTGACAAGCTTCCAAGACTTGGGGTTAATTCTACGTCATATCAGTTTCCAAACTGTTTCTGTGTTTTTTAAAAAAATTTCCCATTTTCTTAAGGGAGTGTTTAAACTCGGATTGAGGAAATTCCTCGACAATCTTGCATTTTTAGCATTTATGCTATGCTAATTGATAATCATTTGAAAGCATGTAGTTTGAACTCGCAATCATGCTAACTAGACCCAGTATCAGCAGACATTTCCTATGTGTGAACTAATTAAACATCTTAGTCGTCTTCATCATGGTCTAAATCAAAGAAACTTCTTATCAGGTCTTTCCTCTGCTCATATGTTGTCTTAGCCTTTAGTACATAAGAGGTAATGAAGATGAAGTTTGTTTTGTTTTTTTTCTATTTACATTTAGTTGATTGATATTTTGAAGGTTGAACTGTTGTAATAGATCTAGTCATGCCATGTTATCTACCTGTAGGAAGCACCTGCTATTGTCAAGTCTGTTTATGACAAAAGAATAGTTGGATGCCCTGGGGGAGAGGGAGGTTAGTCCTTCTGCTTTTCCTTTTGCTTCCCTTTCTTTAATTAGCTGACTGACAAATGTTTTACATTTTGATCCTTTTATCCACGTTGCAGAATTAGTAATGAGTGATTTATTTTTCTATAAATCTGCAGAAGATGAACATGATGTTGTTTGGTTTTGGCTGGAGAAAGGCAAACCACATGAATGCTCGGTGTGCTCGCAATATTTCATGGTATCTTATCGTTTCCTGTTGTTAGAGTCAGTTGTGAATTAAAACAAATGCTTTTGGAATAATTTTCAGACTTCTCTAATTTATCTCTGATCATATTCTGCAGTTGGAAGTTGTTGGCTCCGGAGGCTGTCCAGATGGCCACTGAGATGATAACCATTTAATCAAGCTTGCTACATTTGTGGAGGAATAAAATCTGATTACGTGATGTGATGGAAACTCACACTGAGGCAAAAACAATTTTGTTTCTTTTTTGAAAATAAGCGGCAAAACAATTTTTGTCGGGTCTTTGGATCCCTTTTTGCTTATGAGATTAGTCTCAGATGTTTTTCAAGTTGGCGCATTTCTTACTTTGAGACCTTGTTATAATCAAGTTCTGGCAGATGATTCTTTTTATACTATTCATCGATAGGCGATGATACTTAACATTCTTATAGCAAATTACTTGCCTATAACATTTTTTAATTGCATGTTTTACCTCTTTCTGTAAGTGACATGAAGAGAAATCACAGAACAGTTGAGCACTTTGGGTTTAGTGTTGCATTCGTTTGGATCATGTTGGAACTTGTTCAGCACGAAATCAAATTGGAATGCAACATTTATTCCATAATCTAAATTTCTTTGATGGTTAAGAGTTACAGAGAAGAAGAACAATTTTCAGATTGTCAAAGAGAATCCTTTATGTTCTCTGACAGTAATCAATTGGGAATTGACATTCAGTGGTATTTGGCAGTCTTCTATGAACTGCCAAACCATTTATCCAATAGTGATTTAATTTTGTTCTACTTGTTGGTGTCACTTAGTTATTATAAATGTATGAATTTTAAATTCTCTTCAATAAGCAAATAGGCTCGCCTAATATTTGGATGTTTGTGATTAGAGAGGACAAAAAAAAATTTGACTGCCATTTTTTTTGTTTTTTACTTCATAAACTATGAAAACATCGAAAGAATGTCCAAATCAAGAAGGCCGAGGATTTTCCCAATGCAATGGAACATAGGAAGCATCAACCGGATTAAACTCATCTGCTCTGTAAGCCCAAGGCTTGAAGATTAATTAGTCTTTAATCATTTCTTAAGTTTTTTTTAAGCTTCTTCTGCTTTCTGCAAATTTTGCTTACCAGCTTCAAACATGTCAGCTGCTCGACTTGCTGAAACCATGAATGCCTGCCTATCTCAAGCTCTATCAGACTCCCCTGAGCTTCAGCAGAAAGCTTTGGGAACCCTAGCTTCCATGACCAAGGTCAGCCCCAAGATCAGAGATTTACTGGCAAAAACTGATGGTGCCATACCCGCGATCTTCAATCTCTCCAAGTCTTCCTGCTCTATCATCCAAGCTCTCACCTTGTCAGTTCTCTTCAACCTCTCCTTGAATCCTGACCTGAAACGTTCTCTTGCAGACATGGAAACCATTGATCTTCTCAACTCCATAATTCTCTCCCCAAGCTCCCCAGAATCCAGCAAGTTAGCTTCCTCTTTGGTATGCAGCCTGGCAATGCTGGACAAGAACAAAGCCAAGTTTGGTGTGGCTGGTACTGTCCAACTACTGGTCCATGCCGTTGCAGCTGTTCCTTGTGGTCCGGCTGCTCATCACCTGCTCAGTTCTCTGGCTGAACTTGTCCAGTTCCATGGCAATTGCACCCTAGCCGTCCGGTCAGGAGCAGTCCCGGTTCTAATCCAGCTGGTAACAAACTCCAATACCGAAGATCTTACTGGAACTTCACTGACTGTTCTTAGCCTTGTTGCTAGGTTTGGAGAAGGATTGAATGCTTTGAGAAAGATTGATGGGATTGTGAATTCAATGGTGGATGTTCTTAAAGGGACATGCATGCTGAGTAAGGAAGGTGCTGCCGAAGTTCTTCTTCGATTGTTTGACGAAAGTGAGGGATGCGTTAGAGATGCTCTGATGCTGCCGGAATTCTCAAATCTGCTAGCTGATTTGTCGGTGAGAGGATCAGGTAAAGCCCGGGACAAGGCAGTCGGTTGATGAAAAAAATGATGGGAGCGAATTGGGATTTTAATGCTGATACGATTCCAAACTCTTATCTTCTGGAATTG